CAGCCCTAGCACAGCATCCCGGGGGGATTTGGGAGCTGGATTCAGCCCTAGCACAGCATCCCGGGGGGATTTGGGAGCTGGATTCAGCCCTGCCTCGGCATCCCTGGGGGATTTGGGAGCTGGATTCAGCCCTGCCTCGGCATCCCGGGGGATTAGAATTGGATTTCTGCCCCGGGCTCTGTGGAAGCAGGAGGAGCTGCCCAAGATCCTTTCTGCTTTCTGACCATGCCTGCAGGTGATGCCCTGCAGCGCAGCCGGCAGCAGGAAAATGAATGTAACCAAAAAAAAAAAAAAAAAAAAAGAGTGCGGCTGCCAAGAAGCGGAGCAAGACCGAGCTGGAGGAAATAATGCAGAATGCATTTTCTGTTCTCAGAGGTTTAAGAATTAAAATTTAAAACTAGGCATTCTTCTCCCCAATACCACAGAAACAACCATGTTAGTCATTTGCACTGCTAATACAAATCTGATTAATCTTTTTTCTTTTTAATTATTATTTTTTCACATTGTACAGGCTCTCCATCATTAACAGAACTGATAACAAGCTGCATATAAAATTTGGGTTGTTTAACACTTCTCAATTAGGTTCCTGAGTGCAGGGCTTTTTTATTATCCTTGCAGAGGACGAATGTTAGCAAACAGAGTTCAGTAGTTTCTAAGAAAGCAGCAGAGAAAAACTACAGTATTTGTCTCTGGGAAAAAAAAATCTCAAAGCTGGTTCACTAAGCAGTGCTATTATTTTACACAAGCTTTAAAGTTTGGTGGCTGGGAGAGGAGTGGCTGCCCTGATATGGTTTTTAGTATATAATTTCATGAAATAAGACCTGTTAAAAGCAATCTGCAAAGCCTACCTAAGCCCCAAACCAGTAATTTTCTCACTAGATCACATCAAATACAATGTTTGTTCTGTTTTTGTCTACAGCAAGGAGTTTGTGTGATCTCCAGCAAATGATGATGTGCCTCAATTCTCTGCCTCCAAAGTTCTCATCTTTACAAGGAAGCCACAAGGTTTTTATTAACCTGTGTTCTCATTTGTTCAGCTATTACAAGCACTAAAACCACTCTGCTGAAGGCCCAAGTGTGGTCCTCAACCTGCCTTTTAATTTCTGGCTTGACTTTTGTGCATTCAAATTAATTTATAAAGGAACTGACTCTTGGGGTACTGAGCAGGCAGAGCTGCCATTACCTTCAGCTCTGAACTCACAAAAATTCATACATGTGCCCAGAGCAGCCCAGTGTGTCATTGACTTCAGCAAGATTATCTGCATCTTGCTTTTTAAAAAATTTTCCTAATATTTGGTTTCAGAATTCCCCTGTCTTCCCACTGCTCATTTTCCCACAGCACAATTCTCCAGGGTTTGTGAGGGTGCTTTAAGTGAGACCAGCCAGGAACTGCAGCATCTTCTCCAAGGTGCAGCCTGCCCCTTTCATCACCTCCTTCCAAGGCAATTTCCTCCCAGCCCACTCTCCTCCTTGCTGTTGACATTAAGGAGCACCTGGTAAGTCAGGCCAGCTTTCTGATCTGGCTTAAAACTAACCAAGGGAGTTTTTTAAAAGTGAGATCACTGAGCTGGTTCAGTTACTGTTCAACCACGTGAGTGCAAACGCAGCCGTGTGAATAGGAGCACAAGAGGGGGATGGCAGCCTCCTTCAGAGCTTAATCCAGCTGCATTATTGCACCATCTGGGTAGAAAAAATCCAACACAGCTAAATATTTGCAGAGTGGACAGATAGATGGACTTTTGTTTAACAGTTTTGCATATTACTGCTGTTTTATATCAACTTTAAAGCTATTACCTAGCTGCCAGCTGCTGTCTGTTCACAGAATGTAAAAGCAAAATATTTTAGCTCTAACATACAGGACAAAGGTGCCCTGTGACCTGCTGAAGCACCAGGTTGGTCGAGTTCAGTCATGCCAAGCAACCCTTTAGAAGCATTTCATTCTAAAAAGACCAAGCTGAAGCACTGGATTGAATCCTGAAAGGATTGGGAAATAATGTAAGACAATGAAGCAGAATGAGAAGAGAGTTTCTCCGTGGTGCCCCTGCTAACACACACATACAGGAGAGAAGGAGCTACATGAGACTGGTTACCTTGCCACAAAAAGATAAATTAGTTTGGTTGCACGAGATTTGTCCTCAATAAACCTCAATAAACTGTTGTTTGTCAGCCTGGCCAACTGTTAGGATGTTTTAAATTTTTAATTAATTAATTAACTAATCTATTTATTTTTTTATTCATTTTTATTCAGTGACCTGACTGCTCTGGAATTCCCTTGCTGGCTTCTTTTTCTGCTTCTTGGAGCTCTTCTGGTGTCCTTTTCCATTCTTCCTACACTTCATAAAGAAAAAGCTCAGAGCCTGGGAAGCCAGTCCTCTAAGCACCTTAAATGTGAATGTTATTTAGGACTAGCCCTTTTGAAAGCATGTAAGTAATTGAAATTCTCTCAGATGAGCTCTTTCCATTTTCTGTCATGCGTTCTGACTCCTTTCTTTCTTGGTGTTTGTTGAATTTATTGTCAAATCACAGTAGAGGCAGAAGGTGCACTATTCACTTTTTGGTTAAACTTAACTGCCAGCTAAATGCAAGCTGGGTTTTGTCTTGCTTAACTTCCACCATCTTCCCAGGGAAACAGGGGCTTGAATGACAATGTATCATTAGAGGAATAAAATATCTGCTGTGAACAAAGCTGTGCACTCTTCCAGAAATGTCCAGGGCCCTGGTTCTCCAAACCCCTTCAGTTTAAGCAGAGCTCCTTGAGAGCATGGCACACTCTCCAGGCTGATCCACTGAGAACTGAATCCCAAATTAAACAAGTCAGGATGATATCCAGGAGAAGGAGACCAGATAGAGGTGTGTTGTTAGGTCATAGAGGTGACCTATGGGCTTGTCGCTACACACAGCTATTTCTTATTCCTGATTTATTTATACAAAGATGCTCTCAGTCAGAGTAAGCCATTGTTTAGTTTAATCCAGAGTAAATTAAGCAGGAAGAAATCCATGTGGAATAAAGCCTTGAGAACAGGCTTTATGTCCTGTGTCTTTTGAAAGTAATTAAATGTCTCTGTAGACTCTTTTTTAAATGGAGCTTTGCAAAGAACTGCTATTATCCTGGCTTTAAAACACATTGTCCTCTATCTATTGCCCAACCTGCCAGATTAAATGACACACACTGGCTGCCTGGAACAATCACCTCAAGTTTGATACTCAGTATAGCAAACAAAGACAAGCTTTATTAACCTTCAGACCTGTGATAGGTGTGAAGGTTGTGATGCAGGTTGGAACAGCCTCTTCAGCAATCCTGTTACACACCAAAGGGTGCAGGCTCCTTCCTTCCAACTGCAGCATCTCAGTAACAGGGTGAGACCCCGT